TCCCATTACTTGAACGGGGAGACTGCAGGGGCTGCCGGGGGCCTTAAGCCCACCTCTCAAGTGCGGGAAGAGGCCGAGAGCCCCACCTGCTGCACCGACAGGACTTTATTTATTTATTTATTTGCCACCCATTCTATCGCGGGGCTACTCTGGGCACCTGGCAACAGTAATACGGAAAGGAAATGATTTGCAAATGTAAAAATAAGAACAGAAAAGGAATGAAAATGAAAATAAACCGTGGCACCACAATAACACGAGGAGGGAATGGATAATCCTCCCCGAGACTGCAGACTGGTGAGGGCTGTTTCGGGGTGGGGAAAGGGGTTTCCTGCCCTGAGTCACAGCAGGCGCAGAAGAGAGAGAGAGAGAGACCCTGGCCAGATCCGCTCTCGGCCCTGCCCGTTTCGCCAGCGAGGCTTTCTTTTTCAGGAGTGGCCCCTTTCAGGCCTCTGGGCTTCAAGGGGTTAATTGTGGACACTTAACCAGTGGAGCAGCTTCGCCTTGTGCCTGGCCTGGGCACAGGGCGGAGGGACAGCCGGAGGGCCTGCTGTCCAGCAGAGAGTGACCTTTCTGGGCACATCCAGAGAAGGTTTCTTTACATGACCGGTCAGCTGCTGGATGAGTCATGGCCAGAGGGTGCCAAGAGGATCCTGGTCCCTCTCCAGACCAAGGGGGGGCATCAAAGGGGGCACGGAGCAGCCAGGAGGGAGGGGAAAGGAGGATCTTCCAGGCAGACCAGGAAGAAAATATTCTAGAAACCAGGGGAAAAATGGCACGTTGTTTCCCAAAGGCGGAAAAAGCTGCACTGGCAGTCCTCCACTGACAACGGTTTATTTAATGAGGGTTCGAAGTTACAGCAGCATTGAAAGAAGTGACTTATGACCGTTTTCCACACTTACGACCATTACAGCCTCCCTGTGGCCACGTGATTCCCCATTCAGAGGCTCGACGACTGATTCACATTTATGACGGTCACAGCGTCCCGGGGTCGTGTGATCCTCTTTTGTGACCTTCTGACAAGCAAAGTCAAGGGGGAAGAAGCCGGACTCACTTCACAACTGTGTGACTAGCTTAACATCTGCAGTGATTCACTTAACAACCGTGGCAAGCAGGGTCGTAAAATGGGGCAAAACTCACTTAACAACTGTCTCACCTAGCCACAGAAATTTTGGATTCTATTGCGGTCCTTAGTCGAGGACCACCCGTACGTCCCACCTGCTCATTTCCCAAAGGGAATCAAATGTCCAGCCATGTCCAGATGTGGCTGAACTGAAAACCGCTGGCCAGAGGCCGGGAGAGGCAATTCTGCTGAGTAGAAATAAAGCTTGATTTTTTTCTCTCTGCTTTTTCTCCTTCAGCTGAGGTCAGGTCAGCCTGCTCTCCGTCTCCGCTTTCCCTGCAAACAGCTCCAGGATCGATACTGTTTAGGGAGGGAGGGCACTAGCAGATCAACCGCTGGGCTTAATCCTGGGGGGCCAGAGGGGGGGCTGAGTGAATCCGTGGTGGGCATCCCTAAGAGGCTTGCCCTGGAAGGGAGAGGCGGAGGCAGCCGGGCTGGGAATGCCAGTCCACCCACCTCAAAATGGTTGTCGAAAGGCACCTGGAGGGGGGGACACTGGCCACAGGGGTGTCTAAATCGGCCGGGGGGGCAGCTGATCCAACAACTGGCCCCCTGCCCACAGTTTTGCCCCATTTTACAACCTCTCTTGCCACAGTTGTTAAGTGAATCACGGCAGCCGTTGTTACGTGAACCTGGTTTCCCCACTGACTTTGCTTGTCAGAAGCTCGTAGAAACTGATCACATGACCCCGGGATCCTGCAGCGGTCATAAAAAACTCACTTAACAAAATGTTTCACAATTTTTGGGCTCAGTTGAAGGCCTAAGTTGAGGATTACCTGAAAGATCATTACAGATCACTTGTTTTTCTTCCCGTCCTGATGGATCCCACCAGTGCCCGTTTACTTGATGCTCCGTGTGCTTAATGAAGGACGGCTGGAAAGATCCTTAATGGTGATCCAGGCCTCACCGCCACCCTGGGAAGGTGCCAGTGCTGCCCTCTGGATGGGCAGCTGTCCATCCTCGGCTTAAAAGCAATCCATTAATTCCACAGGTGAAGTCCTGCCTTCCCTCCCTCGTGGTGCATGCCGGAAGGAGCCCACCTTGCCTTACCTCCGTGTCCCAACAGGTGAGGCTGGTGGGACCTCTGCCGTTTGGTGGGTGCCTTGTCGTTGGGAGGGTACGTCCAAATGACATGCCGGAATCCTTTCGAGATCACTTTGTTGATCACGGAGTCTCCCTGCCTGAGGAATCCTGGAAACAGGAGGAGGAGGAGGAGGAGGAAGGTGGGGCTCATCCCTTCACCCAGGTATTTGCTGGGGCTCCTTTGGAGGAAACAGCAACAGGCAGTAAATTATGTGGAGATGATCACATTTTGCAACCTTGGGAACTGTAAGACTTGTGGACTTCAACTCCCAGAATTTCCCAGCCAGCTTTGCTGGCTGGGGAATTCTGGGAGTTGAAGTCCACAAGTCTTACAGTTCCCAAGGTCGGACACCTCTGTTACATCCCTGTTACATCACCTCTGTTACATTACATCACTAATGCTTCTTCGGGGCCATTCTGCCCCCCTCCTCAAGCATTTGGCCCTCAACCCACCTCCCCAAATTGCAGGGGGGCACCCTGGAAGCTGATCTCCCCACCAGAGGATGGACACGCTTATCACCTCGGCCCAGAGACCAGACCCCCCCCCGGTGGCTCCTCCCACCCATTATGAACTCCCAAGGAGGGTGCCAACTGCTACAGCAAAACTCCCCCTCCCCATGATAGCCATATCTTTCTTCTCAAAGCAATCCCTGAAGAACAGAGAATGGCGTCAGAGTGAAGAAGGGGGGCACCAACCAGCCCTTGCCCACTTGTGAAAGGCTGGAGGGTGTGGGGAGCCCAAGGGACAGCTAGTCTAACCCCCAAGTGGGCAGTGCAGGAGCAGCTGGGCTGCTTCTTCCCACGTTCCCTGAAGGCCCCCAATGACCAATCTCTTCTCCTGAGGGTGCTGGGCCTTTAAACTGTTTCCCCCCAACCCAAGCAATAGAACTAGACTAGAAGACCTCCAAGGTCCCTCCCAACTCTGTTATTATGTTCTGTTCTACTGCTTGGGTTAGGGGGAGCAGTTTAAAGACCCAGCAGGCTCAGAAGGCAGGGGGTGTGCTGGCCTGCAGGGGACGTTCCCTGAAGTCCACCAGAAGGCAAGACAGAAACAACGGATAGAAACTAATCAAGGAGAGAAGCAACCTGGAATTAAGGAGAAACTTCCTAACAGTGAGGATAATTAACCAACGGAACTACTTGCCTCTAGAAGTTCTGGGTGCTTCCTCACTGAAGTTTTTTAAGAGGAGACTGGACAACCACCTATCTGAAATGGGATAGGGACTCCTGCTTGAGCAGGGGGTTGGACTAGAAGACCTTTGAGGTCCCTTCCAGCTCTATTTGGATTGATTGATTGATTCTTGTTTCCCTCTCCGCCAGGGCTGGAAGCTGGACCCCAAGCCTGGAAGCCTGGCCTGGAGAGTGGGTGGGCAAGGGGCCTCCGTGCTGGGTCGCCTCCAGCGCTGGCCAAGGTCCAATCCTCCCCCTCCTCGGCCTGCCTTTCAGCAGCCTTGCTCGAACTGGCTCCGGAGTTTCAAATTTTTGCAAAGAGAAGGGCGGAAATGGCAGGGCCGTCTTGCATACCTGGCATACCTCCCGTTGGCTCCGCCTTCTGTAAAACGAAAGGGCTTCCTCCAGCTATGACCTCACCTGGGAACCCCATCCAGATCGCTCACTTTCATTTTCTCCGGCTTGCTTTCCAAACGTCACCTGCAGGACCGGCTTATTTTCAGTATCCAACTGAAAACTGAAAAAAGATGGGCGCTATAAAAAGGGGAGGCATGGAAGGCCCAGGACAGACTCAGGTATTCTTCACTGGGGTTTTGGCCACCCGACGAGAGAAGCATGGACCCGAGCACAGAAACCTTCTCCCTTCGCCACAGGAGCTCCTCCTTAGGGGCAGGTGAGTCCGCAGCCGCTTTCCGGAGGTCCCCTTTGCAGCCAGGGCGGTGGGCGCAAAATCTTGGAGGTCTGGGGAAGATGGACGTGGACCTGAGGAAGTCGTGGACTTCAGAACTTTGGGTTGTGCAGAGGCTCAAGGAGGCCATGTTGAGGTTTGGTGGGTCCCAGAGCCTGCTCCTTCCTTGGCTTGGACATCCGTGCTTGGAACACACTCGGCAAGGCCGGAGCCCCGGCCAACTGGACGTGACCCTCCAGCGGCCAGAGATTATTAGCATCTTCTAACAACGTGAGGGATGATTGTAGCATTTGAAAGTTGGCACGTCCTCAGAATTTGTATTGGCATCACTTCCTTCCAGACACCAGTCCTGATGGGAGGGAAACTTCCAGAAAGTTCCTCCTCCCGTTCATTAAAACAAGCGTGGGCAACTATGGCCCCTTTACAACCTGTGGACTTCAGTTCCCAGAATCCCTGAGCCAGCCCCCTTCAGAGCTTTTTCCAAAGATTTAAGAGACCCTGGATTAGCGAGTCATCTTTTCGGAGGTACTACCTGACCTATAACTCCCGCACCCTGCACAGTCCCCCCTACCCTTGCAATACCTCCCTTGTGCCTCACACCTCACAGCTCTGACCCGCATCCTGGCATGCCCTCCCTGACCTTGCCACACTCCCGTGCACCCCAAGCCCCTCCCTGCCCCCCAATGCACCTCTCACACACACACCCTCAATCCCTCCCCCACTGAGTAGCAGCCACTTACCTGCTTGCTGGCCTTGGACTTGCGGGAATCTGACAGGGAACCTTGGAGATGATGGTGATGGCACGATGGTGCATCAGCCCTGAATCGGCCACAATTTTGCCCAATTCCAATACCGCGGCAGCCGAGGGTCCCGGGGTTCGGATGCCTTCTGTAGGTTGGCCCACTTGAGGTATCCTGGTTCAAGAATTGATGCCCTGAGATGTTCCGTTTTGCACGGTTGAAGGCGACAAACAGGCCCAGGAGTTTCAGTGGCATGGAGAGGTCTCGCTACGGAGAAGTGAGCTGCCCGTCCTCTAACCGCCTCTCTGCTTCAGGTCCCAGGAAGTGGCTGCTGATTCCTTTGGCCCTCATGATCCTGCTGAAAGTCCCCGGGGTCCAGAGTCTGCCAGTCGGATCCTGCCATTTCCCCCAAATTGCAGAACATTCGGACGCCTTTAGGCAACTCAGGAACCGATACGTAAGTCGTCCTCTGGAGCTGCAGTCGAGGGACGTCTTTGGGCTGGGGAGGATGGGGGGCTTCAGGGTTGAGAAAGCTGGAAGCTCTTGGGAGGGCTTGGGGGAGAAGACCCTGGACAGAGCCCCCCTGGAGCCCCGAGAGGAATGGACCCTGAGGGACAGACAGTTGGGGAGACCCTCCCAGCCCTGGCCATTGACAGTCAATCACTGAAAGTGGTTTATTTTTATTTATTTATAAAATTTATTACCCACCAATCTTACCACAAGGTAACTCTGGGCATAGAGATAACGCTGGGCACAAAGATAGATTATTAGATTAGATTAGATTGCTAATAGATGATAGGAGAGAGAGAGAGAGAGAGAGAGAGAGAGAGAGAGAGAGAGAGAGAGAGAGAGATTACGGATCTGCTATTAACCAATCAGCCACCTTCACTGTGAGGCTCCCCTGGTTAGGAAGGCCCTGCAAAGACAGCCCTTGTGACCGGTCCATCCAGCGCCCGGCAGCTCCCTGGCTGGTCTCGGGAGCCTCCTGGGCAGCAGCCCCACCAGCCAGGGCAGCTCCGAGGAGGCCAGACAGAGAAGGCCTGCCAACCACGTGACCCCCCCCAAGACCCCCCCCCCAGCTGGGAGCTTCCAGGGCAGCCCTGCAGCCTCTTCCCTCTTTCGGACGTTTTAACCCTTCTTCCCTATTCCAGGAGGACGAGAGGTTCAAAGGGGGCGAACCCTGGAAAAACTGCACCCGCCAGCATCTCCGCTTCCCCCGAGGGAAAATGCACCACTTGAGAAGCGTAAGTGACCTGGGGCAGCCCAGACACCAGCCCAGCAGGAGGAAAGAGGAGGGCACCCTGGGCACAGGCGCCAGCAAAGGATGGCATCGGGCCAGCCCGACCCCCAGCCCGGGATTTGGGGCACGGGGAGGACGTTCTCTGTGGATCTCTTTGGTCCATATCCCAAGTGTAAAAAAAAAAAAAAAAGATTTTGTTGCCTCCCAAAGACTTGGAGTTGCGTGGTTTGGGCACGAGGGGTCCTTGGTGCTCTCTGAGTTTGCTTGTTTTTCTTGTCTCACTTAGCAACAAAAAGTTTGGGCTCAATTGTGGTCGTAAGTCAAGGACTACCTGTATTCCCAAATAATAAGAGTATCATCTTTTTTGGTAGAAATGGGAAAAGCTGGAGGCCGTGGAAGCAGAGCTGGCCCTGGTCGTGCCCGTCTTGCAGAACCTGAGTGAGCCGCCCTTCTCCAAACAGGCCTCCAAGATTTTGGAGTTCCTGCAGCCGCTCAAGGACGCTCTGGCCCCCTGCGTAAGTGCAGCCCTGCCGAGAGAGGCCTCTCCCCCTCCCCTCCCACATTGGGGGGGGGTTCCGGAGGGAAAGACAGCCCTGGCTCACCCCCTTCCTCTTTCCTTCAGATCAGGCACAAACCTCCCCACAGGCAGAAGTCCAGCCACCTCCAGGAGTTCCAGGAAGCGATCCAGAAATTCAACGCCAGCAGCGTCCAGGTGAGCCATGCAGGTGCCCGACTGCCTCGGTTGGGCAGGCAAGGAGGGGCAGAACTGAGCTTGGTGCACAGATAATACACACCCTCTTAAATGCCTACTTATATTAGTTCATCAATAAGATACTTGTTGCCTGGGCTCTGGTGAAGGTAATTGCTGGGGTACTTGCGAGGGCCCTGTTCTTTGTCTGTGGTTTGTTGCTTTGGCTGTTTCAGTCCAGATTACCTGCCTAGGTGGATTTAATCGCTTTTACTGTTTTCTGGATTTTTTCACCCTCCCAGAGTCTAATCCAGTGTTTTTCGAACTTGGTCACTTTTAAGACTTGTGGACACCCAGAATTTCTCAGCCAGGATGGGTGGACTTCCACTTCCACATTTCATGCCGGCTGGGGAATTCTGGGATTGGAAGTCCACACATCTTAAAGTGGTCAAGTTTGAAAACCGGCGGCCTAATGCAGAGTCTCCGGACTTGGCAACTTTAAGACTTGTGGCCTTCAACGCCCAGAATTCCTCAGCCAGCATGAATTGTGGGACTTGAGGTCCAGGCGTCCTGGTTAGGGAATTCTGGGCGTTGAAGTCCACAAGTCTTAAAGTTGCCATGTTCGAAGACCGCTGGTCTAACGGAATGGGTGCCTCTAGCAAATTTATTCAATCGCCTTAAATTCTGAAGTGGGTTGGGCACCTTTACAGATTTGCTACCTGTAGAGCCTCCGTATCTGAAGGCAGAGAGTCTCTCAGCATTTGGGCGCAGACGGTTCGTTATCTCTGCTCCTTTCCTTCCTTCCAGCAATCACCGAAGTGTCTGGAGGCAGCGGTCGGCCTCAACATTGTGCGTCTCCTGGAAGAGGACATTGCTCAGCTCCAGCACCACTTCCGCCACCGCCATCACTTCCGTGCCACCACCCACCTAGGCTAGATCCTGCAGATGCCGTTGTGCCCAGCAAAGGCTCCCCAGATCAGAAAAGCAGCCGGAAACCACACCGACTCCTCCGCAAATGACATTTCTGCCTTCCAAAGAACCAGGATCAGGGGAGCCATAGACTGTTCTGTATGCTGCACGCTTTCCTCAACACGGTGACCTGCAGAGGCCTCGGGGATGATGGGAGCTGTTGTCCCACGCCTCTGAAGGGCACCAGGGTGGAGGAAGTCTTAACCTCAAAATGATCCAGAGCAGAGCTTTGGATTCCCAAGCAGGCTTTTCAGGGATTACTTGTCTTATTTATGTCCTTCTGCTTGCCCCAAAGAGCCACGTCTAGCTAAATGCTGCTTTTTTCCAAGCCTGCAAGGCTCACCCCCTGGTGCGGGAGGTTCCTGGAGAATCTTCTGTGCATCCAGGCATCCTCTTGCGGTGCATTTGCAAAACTGTGATAGCCCAGTGTTGCAAAAGGGCTGCTATATTTATGTAATTTATTTTAATCTTCCTGGATCTGAAATTAACACGTTTGGGGTGGGAGGGAAGCAGGGGGGGGAGACCCATTATTTAAAGTGAGTGCTATTCATGAAATAAGAATATGATTTATTCATGCCTCCCCTTCTGCCCAGAATGGTTATAATTTCAAAACAATTTCAAAAGGGATCTGCTCAGCTCACAAGCAAGGCTGACCTCTGTTGGAAGCGCCAGCCGTGTGAAGGGAATTATTCTGGAGGTATCAGCAGCTGGAGAGGACCCGGACTCAGCATCAAAGTAATTCGAAGGGGCAGCTTTGGCTGAGAAGCCCACTTAAAAGAGAATTGCTCTCAAGAAGCAGCCAGCAATGAGCATTTGGTACAAGGCAGCAGCCTTGAAAGGGAGAAAGCTTTCCACTCTGGCACCAAAAGGATTTAAAACATTGTTAACACTGTACCCTTAATTTGGTTTCACAAGACAAGCCATCATTTCCTTACAAAGTATGAGGTGATAAGGATTTGGCCGATGGTCCAAAGAAAATGACTGTATGCTACCGTTGAAATGATAATTTATCTGTTATTTGTTATTTTTATATGTCCAATCCTATTTATTAAATTTTATACCTTGCCAAGAGAATTAGCATCTACCTTGTTTTTTTAGACTGTCTTAAAACCATCATGGGAGGGAGGGAGGGAGGGAGGGAGGGAAGGAAGGAAGGAAGGGAGGGAGGGAAGGAAGGAAGGAAGGAAGGAAGGGAGGGAGGGAGAGCAGCTTGCCTGCCAGGCCTGGAGCAGCTGCCCGCCACTGGGAAGGGGGCTCTGTGGGAGTGTTACAGGTTCAACTGGCAGAGCTGCCCTCCTGGCTTTTTTTGACCACCCTCCAGATCCCTCTCCTTCCTTCCTTCCTTCCTTCCTTCCTTCCTTCCTTCCTTCCTTCCTTCCGCAGCACCCCCATTGCTCACTTTCAATCCACCTGTGGCATCCATCGGTGGCTCTCCGCTCGCCATCCCTCTAGGAATCTGTTGGCAAAGAGCCGTCTTTCCGCCAAAAATCCACCAGATTCCACCCGCCACGGATCTGGCATCATTACCCGGTTTCGTTTCTGCCCAACAGCTGCAAATTCTGCCTGCAAGCAAAGGCTGCAGAGAATTATTTTAACTTAATGTCAGCGTTAATCACCCAGGAGCTAATGATGCGTTGATAGGATTAGTAATTTCACTCCCCTCCCCCACACATATATGTAATTCAATTAAACACCTTCACTTTTTTTTTCATTTAAATAAATTAAGTCTTCCCATCTGCTGTCAAAATACTCAGGGTTAGGCGAATAGGGGAGAAAGCTGAAGGGGGGGAGCGGGGAGGGGTTGGGGTTCTGAGCCCCACATAGGATTTGGGGATGCGTCTCCTTGCCACAGGAGAAGCAACAAAGGAAACAGCCTCAGACCCACCCAAAGAGAAGTGCAAAATACAGGTGATCCTCGACTTACAGCCACAATTAATCACAAAACTTAAGTTGCTAAGTGAGAAATTTGTTAAGTGAGTTTGGCCTTATTTTACGACTTTTCCCACCACATTTGTTGGGAATCACTGCAGTTCTAAAATTAGTCACCTGGTTGTTAAGTGAATCTGGATTTCCGCATTGACTTTGCTTGTCAGAAGGTTGCAAAAGGGGATCACGTGACCCTGGGATACAGCAACCCATCATAAGTATGAACCAGGTGCCAGTAAGAACTGGTGTAAGTTGAGGACTACTTGTATTCAACAGGACTTACTCCCAAGAGAGAGAGAGAGAGAGAGTGGATATTTTCTGCCATCCTCTGATCTGTTTTAGCACATGGTTTTTAAAAAACCGCTTCCCATGTGGTAGACTGTCTTTTAAAAATAGCCCTTCCTTTTTTCACGTCAGACAAAAATCCGTGTTATGGGATTTGCACTGAGGTTTATTTTTGGCCAGGGGTAGCAGGACACACCCCGTGGAAATAAAGAATTCCGTACTCCTGGGTCTACCTGCCCTTTGAAGGCTACGGAGGCTCGGTAGGAGAGCCGGGCAGCATGGTTTCAAGAGTCCTTGCGCTGCTGCACTAGCTTTCGGTTCAATGGCTTCCCTGCCTTTTCCCTTTCAGTATCACCACAAGCTGAGAAGTGAAAGTACCAAAGAGACTTCTTAGACTCCGATTAAAGGATAAGTAGAAAAATTGACTTGTTCCAATGTTCCTCACCCATGGGAGCTTGAAGATGGGTGGACTTCAGCTCCCAGAATTCCCCAGCCAGCATGCTAATCAACTTGAAGATGGGCTGGGCTGGGGAATCCTGGGGTTGAAGTCCACCCGTCTTCAAGCTGCCAAGACGGAGAAACCCTGGGCTATGCTATCCGCTCCAGAGGACACCGGCTGCTATTTTCCCGTTGCTCTACATTTTTGTTTTAACACATGGAAGTCACCATTTCTCTCTTGCCAGCTGCTCCCAAACCTTTTGGACTTTAAAGCAGGGTGAGAAACATTTGTGCCCAACAGCAGCCAAGCGGTTCACAGACTGCAGATCCAACAGCCCTTTCCCTTCCTGCTGCTTTGTTCGCTCCGATGCTCTCATGATGGCTCAAGGCGAGGACAACAGTAAAACACCCAGCCAGGATTGAAGCAGGACAAAAGCAGACCGGACACAATGCTGTGTTTGGCGAGACAGCCCTCGGGAGAGGGAAAAACATTCTGCAAATCACCCAGGTTATCCTGAACAAAACATTGGGGGGGGGGGAACCATTAAAGCTTTCTCCAGCACTCCTGCAAGTTGCTTCCATTTTTTGCAGCCCTGCGAACCTGTCGTGTTTTTCTGTTCTTGGCAATAAAGGTAATTTGTGACTCTGCCTTACTGAGCAGGTGCTTTCAACGGAGTAACTGAAGCTTGTCAGAAACAAACAAAAAATCTATTAGCTTCCCCACTTGCAAAGCAAGTTCAACATTTATAAACTTCTACATCTGTAATGCCAAACTACAACCAGCCACGGGGGGGGGGGCATGTTTTCTTTGCCCAATGCCCCCCTCTGTGCCCACAAGTGGGTCACAAATATAGTAAATAAGATAAACATGTCTACTGTTCCTTTCTATCAATAGAAGAAAATGTTTGTAGCTCAATGGTGAACTGTGGGGTCCTTGGTGCTCTCTGAGCTGGGTTTCTTGCCGATGTTCCATGACCCAACTACTAGGGCAGGGCTCCTCAACCTTGGCAACTTTAAGACTTGTGAACTTCAACTCCCAGAATTCCTCAGCCAGCAAAGGAATTCTGGGAGTTGAAGTTCACAAGTCTTAAAAGTTGCCAAGGTTGAGGAGCCCTGCCCTAGGGAACATCATCAGTGCTAGAAGGGAGTGGGGAGGGGGGGGAGGAAGAGGAGGAGGACTGTAGGGTCCTTGGTGCTCTATGGAAGAGATCCCCAACCTCTCAGGCACCAGGGACCGACCGGTTTCGTGGAGAAAGGTTTTTCCGTGGACCAGAGAGTACGTGGTTTTCTGTGCTGCCTGCATCCCGCGGATGGGGCTGTTTGTGCAGACCAGTTGCTGGCATTCTGCAGCCCCGGAGCGGTCCATGGACGGGGGTTGGGGACCCCTGCTCTATGGTCTTGGTGGTTTTCTTGCAGACGTTTCATTACCAAAGTAGGTAACATCAGTGCTAGAGAAGAGTGAGGTGTTAACCTAACACTGATGATGTTACCTAGTTTGGTAATGAAATGTGGGCAACAACCAACCTCATAGAGCACCAGGGACCTCACAGCTCTGTTCTGTTCCCCTCTCGTCACTCTTTAAGACCAGTGAGGGTGGCTAAAAGCAGCTGAGGAATTCTGGGAGTTGAAAGCCACACGGCCATTTCCCACGTGCCAGGCTGAACTCATCATCCGGGTTCAAAGGAAGCCAGGCTGAAGGGAGGGAGGGGAAAGAACTTGCATTCCAGCTTAGGAACGGAGCTCCAGTCGTTCGCTTCTGTTACGAAGTTCTTGATCGGGTTTCAAACGCACGGGCAGACGTAAAGCACACCAGGAACGTAGAACGACAGAAAAGCCGTTCACCGTCATCCGCTCTCGCCTCAGAAGGATGCAGGCCTCAAGCGCCGCTCTTTCCTATTTTTAAAAACCAAGAATATTCAGTCTCCGTAGAGACCGTCAAAAATTGCCATTGCCGACTATATTTCAAGTCGTCATGGCGGGGTATTGGGAAAAGTTTTCAATTAGCAATAATCGCGCCTCGGATAAACCTCATTGGCTACGATACTGCCACTGCGCAAAGCTACAGAAAAGCGTTGCCGGCACAGCCGCCCTCTTGCTAGACACTTTCTCACGTCAGGGTGAGCCTGCTCAGACATGACTTGAGGAACCAAGAGAAGCATCTCGACAGCGTTTTAGATGCGCGTCTCCTCCTGTGACATTTTTGGGAGAAATTATCCGCTTCTCCCCGGGTATTTTCCCGAATCGGTGGCCGCAAAGGATCCTGGGCCCCGCATGTATATTAGGAAAGGCGAGGGCGGGAGGCTGTGATGAAAAATGACGCAAAAAGAGGCGGAGCAAACGCCGTTGGAAGTTCGGCGAGAAAGCGACCGTAAACCAATCGCGATGAAGAAAGGCGGGGCTAAGTGGGGACCCAGCTCCGCCCTCCCCTGTAACTGACGGTTCCGAGTATTTTGGTTAATTTGCTTTTTCTTTTGGGTCGATTTCTGCTTTTTCTCGCTTTTTCTTTTCTCTTAGTGGCGAAGAAGTCTCGCTTTTCTTCCCCAGCCTCGCGTTGCTCCTGACGTTGAGCAGTTTGCACCCAGAAGGCGGCCTTCCCTTCTGGCGCGCTGCTTCGGACTACACCGCCCATCATCCCTGGCCAGAACCCCCTTCACCGCTCCCCGCTCTCGAGAGCCCCGGGGCTTCGTGGAAGCCCAGCCCGGCCCCTCGCAGGATGTTCCCCGCGGCAGACTCTGAGCCGAGCCCCTCGCGAGAAGCCCCCACCCGGGGCGCCTGGGGGGGGGAACGGAGGGGCTTCCCCCTGGAGCCGGCATTGCCAAGGTGGCCCTTGGCTCGGGTCCGGGGGGGGAGCGGCAGATGCGGGCAAAGGGGCGGCCGCTGGGATGGCGAGGCTGCAGACTTAGCCATGCAAGCCCCCCCCCGCCCCCTCCTCTGCCACCCAGAGCTTGTGGAGCGCAGCTGCGTTGCTGCAGAAGAAGCCCCCGAGAATCGGGGTTGCAAGTGACCGCTTCCCCCCCCCCCACTGCCCCATGAGCTTCCAAACGGGGTGGGGAGCGATGGGGGGAGGGCGCTGAAGGGGGTGGGTCCCTCTGCCGAGGGAAAGCCGCGGCTGGGCCCTGGGAGAGTCAGCAGCTGTTCCCAGCTGGGAAGGTGAGATTGGGCCCTGGAGGGGGTAAAGTTCCTCCCTGGGGCCAGCCAGGCAGGGAGAGGGCAGCCGGTAGCCCTTCACGCGATCCAGGTCCCAAGAGGAGGAAGGGTCCAGCTGCAGGGGGACCCTCAGGCCCTCCTCCCCAAGGGAGGCCAGCTTTGGTAGATCTCGGTTTAGCCTCTCAGCGGGGCCCATGAGGGGCTTCAGAGCCAACTGCCGGGTTGGGCCGAGATGGGCCTTGGCACCTGGCGGATCTCCTTGAGCTGCCAAGGCTGCCTTTGAAGCTGGGCCCCCAGCTGGCCTGTTCCCTGCGGCGACCTTGGAGCTGGGCCCATGTTCCACGGGCTGACCTTGTGCCCAGAGAGGCACAGCTCTATAAAGCCGCCTTCTGGCCTGAGGACTGGACACTCTGGCCAAGATGAAGGCTTTGCTCAGCGCCCTCCTCCTTCCGCTGCTTGTTGCCACCTGCCAGGCCCAGTGCCCGGTCCCCAGCCAGCTCACGAACCCGCACCCGAACAGCACCAAGGTCTGTTCCCAGATGTACACGGACGACAGCCCCTACTACGACCTCTGCTGCACCGGGAGCGTCCTGATGGTTGTGGCGGGCGAAGACCAGCCGTACATGCCCCCGGCTTTCAACAACCAGATCTCCTCGCTGGTGGTGGGCCAGCGCTGCGAGCTGACCGTCTGGTACAGGAAGGGCAAGGGTGGCAGCACGCGGAAGTTCAAAACCGGAGCATATCCACGCCTCCAGGAATTCAAGAGGGGCCTCATTAGCAACTGGGACAACGCCATCTCCGCTTACTTCTGCAAGTGCAACTGAGTCGGCTTGGCACGAGCCAGGAAGGGAGCTGCCACCTCCTGCCCATCCTCGCTCTGGTGACCTCGCAGAGCCCCCCACATCTGAGGGTCCAAAAGGTGTGGACGCCATCTCCCCACATCTCCCCTTCTGCCCACCTCCCGTAGCAACAGCCGCAGCTCAGCTGAAGACCTTGGCCAACCAGTGTGAGGCAGAAGAACTTGCAGCCCAGAACGGGCCTGGGCCTCCCCTGAGCTGAGCATCCAGAGGCCAGAAAACAGAACCAGGTGACTTTTCCCCCCTCTCACGGGGCAGTGGCACGTGCCTTTGATCGGCCAAGGAGCTCCTGGTCGCTCCCAGGCCTGTCACTAGCGGGAAAGATTTGTTCCAGCGGATGCCTCAAGCTCTTCCATGCAGCCCTTCGCTCTCCTCCCAAGTCCCTCCCGGAGCAGGTGGCCCTCCTGTCTCAGCTCAGCCTTTATGGTTGCACCTCGGAAACCTTATTAAAAGCAAAGCAACTGATTCTCAAAAATGTGTCTGGTGTTTTTGCCACTCAAGGTCAGCAGACGTTGGGAGGGGTGGTCAGTCTGACTTCTGGGAGCCCCCACTTCACTGGAAAGGGCTTTGGGCAGCCATGGGCAAGAATGCAGGTGTGCCCACCAAGAAATGGGGTTTAGTTGCTCCTTCCTCCAAATTTTTGGGAGGAGAGAGAAAAGGCTGTAGACCCCCCAAGTGTAGGTAGGATTCCTCACTTCGCTCTGTAATCACAGCCGGCTCAACCAAAGTGAGGGACCACCAACCATTTCCATCTGCCCCCTCCTCAAGACATGAGCACTAAAACACACACACACAGCTTGCACAGTAAAAGGCCATAAATTTGAGGGGAGGGATTCCAGATTGCAATTCTCAACTCATTTACTAGGAAGCAGGTGTATTGGACACAGTGGCTGGTTATATGCCAAGTTCACAAATTGGCTGCCGTTCTTCTACCACGTGCTGCAGCGAACACCTCAGCTCAAGGGGGTGAGCCTGCTGGTTGCCCTAGGCTGAACCATCAGCCCCACCGGGTCTCACGGAGCAGGTAACGGGGGGGGGGATGCAGGTACTGCCAAGAGCACCAAACTGCTGTGTGTGGATGGAGAGGGAGGCTCTCAGGGGGTCTTGTGGCTAGCTGGGTCTGCCTGAATGGGTCCAATGGCACCCAGCCCTCTTTCTGCCTGGAACTTGAGGCAGAATGTGGGGCCTTCCAAATATGATCACAATGCAAATAAAATCATCTTTTGCCTCCACTTTTAAGCAGCATCAAGCAGATTGATCCTTGGCATTTTTTTTAGAGTGATCCACCCCCTTAGGTCCCCCCAGCTAAAGACACCCCCGAGTCTTGCAACCACCCACCTAGAACCATGCTATCAGTCTTGCGTGGTAGTCCAGGCAAAAGGCACCCCGTTGAACTAACGTTACTTAGGTGTTCTCTGAGTTCCCTTATTTACTTGCGGATGTTTCATTACCCTACAAGGTAACATCATCAGCGCACTGGGGATATTATATGCCAGCAATTGAAGCTGCGTAAGTGGCCTTGCTGGCATCTGCCGAGCCTTCATGCCTGCAGCAGCGAGAAAGGCAGACCCTGGAGTGTCAGAGGGTCCTTCTCTTGCCAGAGGCCCCAGTTTGAAATGGGGGGGGGGGGAAGTTCCCAATGGCCCCCTGGCCAAACCGGCTGGCTGCGCACAATAGTAGGAAGGGTGGGACCCTTTCATAGGACATTCCCACTTCTTCGGGGAGAGGAAGCCCCTCTGCATTCAACTGGCGTCCCTTCGAGCAGAGAACCACCGAGGACATTTTCTCTCAGAGAAAAAGGGGGATTAGAGCGAGTGTCGTTTTCTCCCCGTCCCAGAGGAAATCAGCCAGAAAGCACCACGCTAATTAGCAGTGACGGGGGAGGCCTAAGAGACAAACGCAGAATGACTTTGCAAACATGCGAGGATTACGATTGACAATTAATTAGGAAAATTACAGTGTTCCTCCTCCACCCCAAAGCTGGCAGGCCCAACAAGAGACGCAATGACAAAACGCCTGGAGCAGGTCTCTTCCCCCCTGGGGGAATTCCTGAATTCACCACCCGCAGGCACTTGGAGGAAGCCAGGATAATCTCCCTGCCCTGGAAGGTGCCGCTTTATTGAGCCCAGCGATGCTCAATAGAAGGTGCTTCGTTCAGCAGAACTCGCACAGAAGGTTTGCTGAACAGAAAAAAAGGTCAAACCAGATCCGGGACGAGTGCAGATTTTGCCCCTTGAAGTTCAGGGAAGGCAAGGTCACAAAGACAGAAATAGGCACCCCAAATCAAATTTACTACAACTGCATTTTGGCTAAAGAACCTGACCATCCCGTGATATCCCATCACTTGGCCCTCAAAGAGCGGGGGGGGGGGGGGGGG